CCCCAAAACCCCAAAACCCCAAAACCCCAAAACCCCAAAACCCCAAAACCCCTGTGAGGAGCGGGATTACTGAATTTACCACAATAATAATACTCTACCCATTTATCATAGCTCCACCTGCGAGAATAGCTACAACTCCTATGGTGATTGCAATTGGACCTGCCATGCTTTGCTGACTTGAACTTCCTGCACCTGAAACTTTCTTGAAATTTACTTGACCATTCTCTGAGCCTATATTTACGTTATTCCATTGAATAAATTTCTGGTGAAGATACCCAAATGTTAAAGATATCCTTAAAATTTCAGAGGAGCTATATCCCAGATAATTCTTTGTATCACTCAAGTCTGAGGATTATAAGGTATTTTTGATTCTAATAGGAGAAAATATACATTGCTCACTTCTTTAAGAAATCTTTTGATCTATTGCTAGATCTGTACTTAAATCATTAGTCCTTTAGAGAATCACAGTGTAATATAGATTCTAATTCTAACTTAAAATATGTTGATTCAAAGATTTTTAAACTTTGGAGATTAATCAAAAGAATTTACTATTGTGAAGAGCAAAGAGTAAAGTCAGCTTTTGGATTACCTCTGATTCCGGAGTACGCATCTATCTTTGACTGATTGTTATTGAATTTAACCCTTCTTTCTTTATTCATACCTTGGAAACCAGCGTATTCTTTGAGTTTCTCCTCACGAATTTTGTTGATTTTCTCAAGGCTTTGCATCTTGCTCTCATAATCTTTGATATAAAGATTGTTATTCTTGTCGTAAAATTCTTTGACGTATGTATCAAAGTTTGTGAGGTCGACATCTCGGGCCATCATCCCTTTCACCATATTTTCGTTACTCTTGAGCATCTCTATATGCTCTTTTCTCAGCCTTTCTCTGAACTTGATCTCCCACTGTCTCATCTCTTCAGCTTGTCGAATTAGTTCTTGCCTAGCTTTGAGAATCATCTGCTCAGATCTTTTGGCTGCAATGTCTCTTTCAATTTTCTCATTGAGTGCTTGTCTTTCTCTGGTTTCTTTCTGCTCCTTCTGGATTCTTTTGAGCATATCATCAAGCTTGGATTTCTTTGCTTCATGCTCTCTTCTTTCTTGAGGAGTCATGAACTTGTACCTCAAGTTCTTCCTTGCTTCAGCAGCATCAAAGTTTGGGTTCGAAATATTCATGAACATGTCATATTTTAAGCGTGAGTTTGAATTGGATAGGATCAGGTAGGCTTCCTGAATTTTTAGGAAAAACTTGCTCTCCCTTCCCTCGTTCCTGTCAGGATGGTGTAGCAAGGCTAGCTCAAGGTATTTCTTCTTGATGTCTTCCATTGATCACTTCGGGCTTACATCTAGGACACTGTAGTAATCTCTCTTTTTGTAAATTTGACTTCAGAAATTCCTGTGCTGTAAACTAAACGGGAATAAGATTTCAGGCACAACAAATCACAAATTATATGGAAAGAAATTTTGATGAAGATCTCAAAATATCCCGAAATTGGCAAGTAAAGATGTAAATCCCAAAAGGAAACTTTCCTACTCATAATTAAAAATGCCTATGTAACTGACAGAGAATATACAGCTGGGATATTTAGAGGTATTGAAACTTCTCCTAAGAGTCCACATTCCCGTATTTTATAATAATATACACAAATTTTAAAAATATTTGTATAATTTGGGGTTTTGGGGTTTTGGGGTTTTGGGGTTTTGGGGTTTTGGGG